CTTTCCGTTTTGGCCAAAAAGATCCAACTCCTGGGCCACAGCACTGGGGACTTTGGAACACTGACCACAACCCTCTGGACCACAACTTCAGAGCCTTCTCAGGCCACCACAGTGGTCGCTGACACAGCTCAGACTTGCCTGGTTGTTGAGGATCACGCAATGCTCGCCTCCAAGAACACCGCGCAACCTCCAAATCCTCATTCTGACCATCAGATGCTGCCCAGAGAAGTGACCTCACACCTCAGCCCAAGCTGGGACCTACAATTCCCCGGATATCAAAACTGTAAAACCAAGAGGGACACGCAGAAACCCAAAGAGGACGACCAACAGAAAAAACAAAGTTTAATCTCACGGTTTGCCCGATTGGGAAAATGCAGAGAAGAAGGGAATGTGATGGAAGGGGCAGCAGCAAATAATTGGAACATCTGCAAAGCTCAGACCGGTCTGACAAGGCTGAGAGAAGCTGGGGGCAACTCTTTACAACACACCCACAAGCCACAGCAGACGAGGGACACGAGGTGACCTAAATGATGACACCCCAACTTTCCAAAGTTCTGGTCACGTCCTCAGCCTGCCCTGACACGAAGCATCAACAGCAGAATTTGGTCGCTATAATTGGCAATTAAAAGAATTAAAAGCTGCCACCAAGTTCAGGTGGACATGGCCTCAAGAGAGGGACGTGGAATCACAGAATTTACAAAAAGACGGCGGAACCATGAGAGGGGAGGGAAGAGGATCACGCTGACCGTCCGTTAGTAATTATTACATTTTGTAGAGGGACACGGTACTAACATCTAAAGAACATCAGTTGTGAAACGTTGAATGAGAGAACTGAGGTCACAACCCTGGCAAAAAAGGGATTGGGCACTGGTTTGTTGTTTGTTTACTGGATTTCTAAACCAGGTCAAGGAATGTGCTTTAAATGACAGAGAATGCTGTTGTGTAAATTGAGAAATACAAATGGACCCAAACATTGGAACAAGCTCAGCCTGACCGTGCTCTCATTTTCCAGATCCTCTCCCAATCCCACTCATGACACAAAGCCAAGAGCTCTTTCATCCATCATGAAGAACTCCGAGGCACCTGGATCTGGCCAAGCTGTTCCAGAGTGACCTCCCCAGGACATCAGCAGCTCCCTCAGCATTCCTGGGTGACACAACGACTGATGGACATCCAGCAGCACAGAACAGAGTCCCGGTCTTCACGAGGCACCCACAAACCACAGCACACGAGTGCCACAAAATGACCTCACTGATGACATCGTGGATCTTCCGAGCTCTGGTTGTTTATTCAGCCCTCCCAGAAACGCGTGGAACAATCACATCCACGCAAATACCAAATTATTGAAGTGGCTGCCAAGGTCAGATGGACACAGCAACGAGAGCAGGACATGAAACTGCACAATTGTGGGAGGGAAAACACTCCCCACACAATGACTCACCAGTAACAAAAGAGGTGCTGCCTAAAAAATTACCCCAAGGCCATGGGACAAAGCTGTCCCACCCCTCCAGGACCGGCATAAAAGCCGGAACAGAGCCTCTCTCCCTCACACACTTCTGCTGACACGTTCTTCTTCTGCTCCTGCAGACAACCAGGTGAGCCTCAAGCCCCCGACCCTCCTGCTCCTGCACCTTTGGCCTTTCTCTGCCAGCACGCTCAGCCCCAGCCTCAGCAGCCCTCACGACTCCCCACAGCCCCACAACAGCCTCCACCCTCCCTGGCCCTGGGCTGCTATGGCAGGAGGGGATGTGGCTACATCTGCTAAAGACCCTCAGCACCACCCCTGGCACCAACCACCCACTCTGGAACACATCGCAGGCATTGAGGACACATCTCTGGACCACGGCTCTCAAAATGGCTCAACTCTTCCACCTCCTGCTCTGAGGCCTCCAAGCAATTCAGTAGCCGAGGGGCCTGCTCAGACTTCCTGAAAACATGGCCCATCTCCATTTCTGCTTTTCTCCCACTCCTGGCTCTTCATTGCTCCTTTGGCTCTGTCCAGTCCCCTCTGGACAAATCCCTTCTCCCAAGCCAGAGACCATCCCGGCTGCTCCCACTGTGGGGCAGGAAGGCCTTGATGCTCTGGCCAGACCTCCTGCAATCAAAGGATCTGTGCTGATGTTTGTCCTCTTGCACCCCAGACCAAGCTCCATTTTATCTATTTCTCCTGCTTTTTACAGGTTTTTTTTTTGTTTTGGTTTGGTTTTTTTGTGTTTTTTTTTTTTTATTTGCCTCAATAAAATTTTCCTTCATCACAGCCTCAGATGACTCCTTTTTCCTTCGTCTCCCAAGACCGTTCCAACCTCTCACAGCCTGAATCCAGGTGTCAATTTTCCATCAGCTCCACCTCAGGTTTGGTGTTCACCCCTTTTTTCCATCCTGGCCAAGCCACTCATCCCAGCAGAGGTGACCTTCCAATGTACCCAGACTTATTCAGTGAAATATTTCACCCCAAACAAAAATTACTTGGTGTAATTTTTCCTTCCTTGTTGACCAACCTCCTTCCCTAACACCACTGAAAATCCATCAGGAGAAACAGAAAGGAATTCTGGAGGCAGGGGGGGAAAAACGCCTCATTCCTTTCCATGGGTTTGGCACTGACTTCAACATCCCCAGGCAGAAAAATTATAAAGAAATGCCACATAAAATCAAGCCTGCTCTCCTAAAATCAGTGGCTGGCCTTGTCAAGATAGCACTTTGCAAGTTCTATGTGAAATCAATCCTGGTGTGGGCAGTTTGTTAGCATAACAATCTTCGTTATCCAGATAAATAATTCTAAATTAATTCTAATTTGATGTTCCCTTTTATGTCTCATCCATGTTGATGATCTTGGAGGCCCTTCCCAACCACAATCATTTCAGGATATGATTTTAATTAGTAGAGTGGACCTTCCCATCAAACCCTATATTGACAAAATACAATAAAATGTGATTTATATTAAACCAGCTTTTGTTGGTGCCTTTGAAAATGAAAGTTTAATCAACCTGAATGATTAATTCCACGACACTTTGGTGTGGAGGTGAAAGTGCTGTTCACCTTTTCCATGTCGTGTTGGAATCATGGCTCCTGATTTTCCACTTTATAATAATGATGATAAACCCTCAAAACCACCTGCAATTGATAAATCCATCCGCAGATCCCAGCAAGCAGATGGGGAGGGAAAAATAACCCAATGAAGATTAAAAAAAACCCCAAAAACCTCCTGTTTTAAGTAAATCCATAAAGCCCCACCAGAATAAATCAGAATAAATGCCAAAACCAAACCAGCAAAGGCCTTCTGGGGGAGAAAGGCTGCTAAAAAATAGAAAACGCCTGGTTAGAAAACTCCACCTAAAGAAATTATCAAGAATTGAGCAATAAGCAGAGAAAGACAGAGGGAGAAAGGGAAATGGATCAATTTTAACAAAAAGAGGGAGGAAATGGCAAAACCCCACAAAATATAAACTGTGAGAAAGGAGGAAGAACAACAATCCAAAGGCAAAAAGCTCTTTAAAATGTTGATAACAAGAACAAACTCTGATTTTTTCCAAAGCAAATCTGCAGGTGCCACAGAGCCCTCAGCTCTGCACCAATTCCATGTCAGGATTCACCATCCAGAGGGTGCTTGGAACACGGATTTTGGGTGTTGTCACCTCCTGCCCTCCCTGTCCCCACACTGATGGAAAGGTCTGGGGCAATCCAGAGCAACCAGGTCAGGGAATTGTGGAAGGATTTGGGTGGGAAGGGACCTTAAAGATGTTTAATTCCAATATTTGGCCTGGGCAGCGACGCCTTCCACCATCCCAATTTGCTCCAGTCCCATCCAACCTGGCCTTGGATAGTTCCAGGGATGGGGCAGCCACAGATTCTCTGGGAATTCCATCCCAGCCCCTCACCACCCTCACAGGGAGGAATTCATTCCCAACATCCCAAATTCCCTCTGTTAATTTAAAGCCATTCCCCTCCTCCTGTCCCTCCAGCCTCTTTCCCAAAGATTTCACTCAAATCAAACTTGGAAACAAAGGAAGCAGGAAGGAATTAATTCCCAATATCCCAAATTCCCTCTGTTAATTTAAAGCCATTCCCCTCCTCCTGTCCCTCCAGCCTCTTTCCCAAAAATTTCACTCAAATCAAACTTGGAAACAAAGGAAGCAAATCCATGGGCCAGGATCCCACTGTCAGCATCCCGTTATTCCTGGGGGGCTGCACCCGACCCCGGGAAGGGACCCCAAATCCCTCCACCTTGGAAAAGCCTCTGGAGTGATGGCTCTGCCTAAACCTGATAGTAAAAGGGTTTTAAAATCACGGGGATTTAGGGTTAAAAGGAAAATTAAGCTTAGTAGGCCCTGAAAAAAATAAATACCCTGGGTACATTCAGACCTCGTACCTTGCTAGAGCTGCACCTGTACATGATAAATGAAATAATTGTTAGATGTGATGATTGGTTAGTAATTAAATATAGTTGCTGTTTAATCGTAAGAATAATCATGAGAAACTGTGGTCAGGGGCCTAAGAAAGATCACGAGAAACTCGTGCTTGAATAAAGTCAATGTATACAATAGAACAATGGAAGTTTAACAATTGATATGTAAGTTATATAACGATGGAATATAAAATAGGAGTCAGATTTGGGTCTGCCCCCCTGAATTCCCAGAGCTCTCAATAAAAGCACCTGCATGGAATCATATCCCGTGGTTATGAGCGTTCCTGACCGCTGACAAACCCAATCCCACCGACACGGAATTCACCTTCCTGGAGAAAAGCTGCCCGAAAAAAAGGGATTGGGATAATCAGGGCATGAAATTGGGTGGTTTTAGGGTCCTTCCCAACCCAAATCCCATTCCACAGGGATTCAACCTGTTCACCCCAACAGGACGACCCTTTAAAGGGAATTTTCCAGGTTTCTTCCCGGGCCTCCTTTGGCCTGTGCACACCGGGATGCTCCGAGCCTCCCTCTCCTCCCAGGTTTTGTTATTCCCTGGCAGGATTGCCCAAGAACCAGGAGAGGACTCAGGTGCAGCTCCTGAGGACTGAAATTATATTTTCCACTCCCAAAATCCGCTGTTACTCAGCTGAATTCCTGCGGCTCCCGCTCCCAGGTGGGACAACAACAACATTTCCCAATTTCCCAGCTGGATATGGACAAGCCAAACAAACAGAAATGAAGATTTTATATGAATTTAGAAACTGCTCAGGGTTGTGTGAACATCAGGAGAGCCAGGAAAGCAAATCCACCAACATGGGAAAAAAAATCATCCTGAAAAAACGCCCTCCAGTCCTGAAGGAGTCTCGTTCTCCATCTTCATTCCTTAGGGTTGGATTTGCAACAGGCCGGGGAGAACGGAGAGGGAGCAGCGTGTTAAAATATGGGATTAAAACATCAGCACTCCAAGATTTGGGCTGTGGAATAAATGGGATTGGATTATTTTTCATGGAATGGTTCAATCTGGGAGAGACCCTCAAGATCATCCATTTCCTTGATGGAAAAGTGGATTTGATTTTTCCTCTGTTCCTCTTGTTTAATTGTTGAGGGGGGGTTTCAGAGTTGTTCCGAGCATTTATATAACTTAAAAATATTAAAAGACAACAGTCTCACGTTTCCATGGTGACGGAGACAGCGGGAATTCACTTGGCTTGAGTTGTCGGCATCTCATTTTTAATCAAGGTTTAAAAGCCAGAGGAAATTTGCTCGGAGCTTCCCTGAAAAGCTCCAGGCAGAACAAAGAAAATTCAGGAACAGAATTATGGAATGGTTTGGGGTTGGAAGGGACATCGGCCACGTCCCCAAGTGCCACATCAGATCCCTCGGGGACATCCTGATTTTCCTCTGGAAGGGTCCAAGGACAGGTTGGAAGTGGCTCAGAGCTCCATGGGGTCGTGGGAAGTGTCCCAGCCCATTTTAGGGAGGTGGAACTCCATGAAATTCCCTTCCAACCCAAACCATTCCATGATTTGGTGGTGGAATGGATTTTCTTGGATCAGGACGCGTAGAGAAAAGGAAATTTTATTCTGCACAAATCATGTTAAATTGAAAAAAAACCCCAAAAAACCAGAAAAACAACCAGCCCGAAACGAAACATTTCCAAAACTAAACCTAAAGAGCAACAGGAGCAGGAGGAAAAAAACCAAAATTTTACTGACTCACCCTTTTCCAGCCTCCATGCACGTCCCAGAGGAGCTCAGAGGAGAAAACTTGACGGATTTTGGGTCCTTCTGCTCCCAAAAAAACCACGGGCTGGACGTGAGGAAGCTCTCGCAGCCCTGGAAAAGAGAACACCACCCCGGGCATGGAGGAGCCGCCGATCCTGCTGAGACAGTCGGCCAAATTCCTGGAAAAATTGCAAGTCAGGGATTCTGCTGAGGCTGGAAAGGGAATAAAAGGGTTTTGTGGTTGGTTTCGCGCCGTGACCGAACTTGTCCCCTCTTGGCAAATCGAATTTCCCCGAGTTTTGGCCACGGGGTGAAAACCACTCCGAAGGTCTCGTGGTGTCCTCAACTCATTTGTCACCTTGGCCAGCTGTGCTTTGTCCTCCCAAAAATATATTTTGGGTTTGGTCCTCGGGGTGTGTTGGGTTTTGGGGTGTGTTGATGGACGTGCCAGTGAGGGAATGTCCGAGGCTGGTGGGATCGAGGGAGAAGTTTGGGGTGGACAAATTTCAGTGGTGACCCCCAAGTTGGACAGACCAGGCAAGGCTGGGGGGGTCCCGGAGGGGGTTGGAGCCCCCAAATTTGGGGTCCCCATCCCCATCCCAAACGCAGCAGGGAGGGAATGGGATCATGGAGGTGGATGGGGGACACGGGGGGACATGTCCCGCTCTGTGCGCACGCACACGTGTAAATACGGGATTACCGTATTTACACACGCGAGTGCGCGCCGCGGGTACCGTAATTCCCAGCGCGCACGCGCAGTGACGCCGCGGTTGTTTGAAATGCGCATGTGCAGAACCAATACCGGGTTTTGGCGTGCGCGTCGGACCGCTACCGTAATTTCACCTTGCGCATGCGCACTGAAATCAGCGTATTCTAAATGCGCACCACACGGTTACCGTAATTCCCGACGCGCACGCGCATCACAACTACAGGAATTCTGATTGCGCATCACGCAATTACCGTACCTCCAGCTGCGCATGCGCATCTTAAATACCGTAATGTCCGATGTGCATCCAGCTTTTACCGTGTGTCCAAATGCGCATGCGCACAACAAGCAGCGCAGTTCCAATGAGGATCACGCGGTACCGTACTTACAAATGCGCATGCGCGCCGCACCGCGGTACCGTAATTCCAAACGCGCACCCGCAACTACCGCGTTTCCAAACACGCATGCGCACCGCAACTGCCGTAATTCCGAACGCTCCTCCGAGCCCAGTTACCGTAAGTACAAATCCGCATCACATCTCAAGTGCCGTAATTCCCAGGGCGCCCTGATTCCAAAGGTACCGTATTTCTCAACGCGCATGCGCACCTCGCTACCCTTGCCAAACGCGCCTGCGCGCCATCACTACCGTATTTCCGCATGTCGCGCTCATCCGGTTTCTCCCAGAGCGCATGCGCACCACACTACCGTAATTCCAACCGCACCAGCTACCGGAACTCCGATGTTTCCAAATGCGCATGCGCAGCATTACCGTACTTCCCGAAGAGCCGCACAATCCCCCTAGTCACAAATGCGCATGCGCGCCGCAGCTACCGTAATTCACCGGTAACTCAGGGTGCGCATCCCAACACATCTACCGTAATTCCAGACGCGCGCCCACCACAACCACCCGTATTTCCGAAGGCAACTACCGTAATTCCAGACGCGCGTAGCACAAAAAAACTACCGTATTTCCGCGCGCGCCCACCACATCCACACGTATTTCCGAAGGCAACTACCGTAATTCCAGACGCGCGCGTCACAAAAAACTACCGTATTTCCGCGCGCGCACCCGAATGCAACTACCGTAATTCCAGACGCGCGCGTCACAAAAAAACTACCGTATTTCCGCAGGCGCGCGGTTACCGTAATCCCCCGCGCGCACGCGCACTACCCCTCACCCCCCCAACTCCGCGCTACCGTATTTCCCATAAAGCACGCGCGCTCCACCCCCCCAAAACCCCCCATCATTAATAGGGGCGTGGTTTAACCAAAAAAGGGGCGGGGTTTTGAGGGGACACGCCCCCCTGGCCTGCGCTGATTGGCCGCGCCGCCGTTGTCGCTGGTGACGGGGACGCGGCGGGGCCGCCGCGCTCGGAGCGGCCGCGGAGCGAGGAGGGGCCGGGAGGGGTGGGGGAGGCTCGGGGTCGGTCACGGGGGGGCCATGGGAGCCCGAACCGGGGCCGGGACCGGCGGCCGACAGCGGTAGGAGCCGCCGGGGATCATGGCGGAGAGGTGAGGAGCGGCATCGCGGCGGGGGGAAAAGGGGGGGTGGGATTTTGGGGAGGGGGGGGGTTGGGCTGCGCCTCCTGGTTCAAACCCCCCCACCCCAAACCTCCCCTTCGTGCATCCCCCTCCTCTTATATAGGTGACCCCCCTCCCCCTCTTTAAAGTGCCCTTGGGGGGGTCTTAACCCCCCCATCACCACTTTGGGGGTCTCAGCCGTTTTTTGGGAATTGAGGTGTTCCCTCCTCTTCTGGCTCCGTTTCGATTTTGGGGTGCGTCGCTGCCTGTGCTTCATCCATCACTGGAGAATTCCAAGCCCCCCTCCCAGATTTTGGTGCATGGAGTAGGAGGGGGGGGCTGGATGCGCCCACCTGGTTCCCCGTGGCTGCGGGAAGGGGATGGAAAAAAGGGGGATGGGGCTGAACCCCACCCTGGATTTTGGGGAGAATTGGGAAAGGAGTTGGGGTGAGGGGGGGAGGGATTGGATCCCACCCTGGAGCGGCTGGATCCCACCCGGCTCCTCTCAGGGGTTTTTTTGGAGGGGTTGGATCCCACCCTGACATCCTGAGAGGGGTTTGGAGGGGCTGGATCCCATCCTGCTCCTTATGGAGGGGCTGGATCGCGTCCTGCTCCCCTTTTTTGGGGGGTTTGGAGGGGCTGGATCCCATCCTGCTCCTTATGGAGGGGCTGGATCCCGTCCTGCTCCCCTTTTTTGGGGGCTTGGAGGGGCTGGATCCCACCCTGTTCCTTAGGAAGGTGATGGATCCCACCCTGCTCCCTCCAAAGGGGTTAAATCCCATCCTGCTTCCCCTTTTTTGGGGGTTTGGAGGGGCTGGATCCCACCCTGCTCCCTCCAGAGGGGTTAAATCCCACCCTGCTTCCCCTTTTTTGGGGGGTTTGGAGGGGCTGGATCCCATCCTGCTCCCTCCAAAGGGGTTAAATCCCATCCTGCTTCCCCTTTTTTGGGGGTTTGGAGGGGCTGGATCCCATCCTGATCCCCATGGAAAGGGTTTGGAAGGGCTGGATCTGTAGGATTTTTTTGGGGGGGTTTAAATCCCACCCTCCTCCCTGGGAAAGGTGATGGGAAGGGCTCGGGATGGATCCCATGGGATGCAGGAGGTGTTTTCATGGAGGTGGAAGGTGTGGCAGGGCGAGGGGGGGGAGCAGGGATGGAACCGGGTGGGATGAAGAGGAGGAGGAGGAGGAGGAGGAGGAGGAGGAGGAGGAGGAGGAGTGGGGGCTGCAGCGGGATGCGCAGCGCCGGAATTTGGGGCGGGGATCCGGAGGGCCAAATCCGCTGGTTTTGGGAAGGTGGAGGGGGCAGAGTTCGGGATTTTTAAAATTTTTTTTTCCCCCCACCTCTCCCTCCTCTTTCCTTACATTTCCCTCCGGCTGTAAAAACTGCAGGATGGGAGTGGAGTTATTTATTTATTTCCCATCTATTTATTCCCCCATTTATTTGTACCCCCCTCATTTATTTCCCCCCTCGTATATTTATTTTTCCCCTTAATTTATCGAGTCAATTTATTCATCCTCTTATTTATTCCCACTTTAATCAACCCCTTGAGTGACCTCTACGGAGAAATCCGCAGCTGCTCCGCGGCTCCGGAGCCTCACCTGGCACACGCAGCTGGGTGGGATTAAAGGGAAAAAATAAATTAAAAAACAACAAAAAAAAAACACGTTTTCCACAGAAAATGGACGGATTTGGGATGTTTGGAGGGAGCAGCAGGTGGTGGTGGTTGGTTGGGATCCTTCCCCCACGGAATGTCTTTTCCCGGATGGAATTTGGCGGAAATCGGCACGGTTGGCGCTGCCGATGGTTTTGGGGAAGGAGGAGAGCGTTGGGATTTGGGATTTGGTGTTGGATATGGATTCCTTTGGGAATGTGGAATTTTGGGTGATTTCTGTGGTTTTGTGCTGGATTTTGGAGCTCTCCGAGTGTTATTCCACGTTGGATTTTTGGGTTGTATTCCCGCGGGATCGGTTGAGGAGAAGGGAGAACATCCAGCAGCATTCCCTTTCCTCCAAAGGGATTTTCTTTGGAAATCCCAAATTGCTTCGAATATCCCAAATTACAGAATCCTGGAATGGTTTGGGTTGGGAGAGGCCTTAAACCCCACCTAATCCCACAGGAATCCCACCTCATCCCATTTTCCGCGATCCCAGTTTTCTCCGAGCCCGATCCGGCCTGGCCTGGAGTTGGACCTAAAAAAAAAAAAAAAAGCCTAAATTTGGGTGGATTTAACTCCAAAAAAATCGGAGTTTTGCGTCACTGGTGGTGGCACAACTCATCCCACCAGAACCAGGGATGGATTTTCAGGATAATCCCAACATGAATCCCATTGGGAAAGAGCATTTTGGTGCTTCCTTTGTGAGGACACCCTTATTTTCCAGGGAAATCTTTGCTTTTCCCACCCAAATCCTGGATTTTTCCAGCTGCAAATCCACACAATCCAAAGTTTGGGCTGCCTGTGAGCCAGATGTCCCCGGGCTGCTCTTTTCCAGAGGGGTTCAAAGGGATTTTTGGGAATGTCCCGCTGTGCCCTGGGATTGGCTGCTTGGCATGGTGGGAGCAACGAGGGGTCAGGGATTTATGGAATTGTTTAGGCGGGAAAAACACCCTTAAAATCACGGAATTCAACCCCTAAAAATGTTGGGAGGAAAGGCTCCTGAAGGTTTTCCAGATCCTGACTCAGGTTGTGTTTTTCCCCATGGGTTTTCCGGATATCCGTGAAAATTGGTCAGTTCAGTTTTATCCCGATTTTTTTTTTGGGATTTTATTCATTGGTGCCGCCGTTTTCTTGGGACAAGGAGCCTGGATGCAACCCCAGGTGGTTTTTATGGATTTTATGGATTGTCCAACCTTTTGTTGGGTTTCCAGGCTTTTATTTTGCTGGATCATCCCAAATGATCCACAATCACTTAGGGGAAAAAAAAGGTGGAATTCCAGGCTTCTGGAAAATGCGGGAATGCCGTGCGTGTGGTTGGTTGGACATCACAATTCCTGGGAACGTCTGGAATCCACTCCACGAAAATCTCGTCCCGTGGGCCACCAAATCCCTTCTTTAGAGGGAAGCTGGAGAATTCCCGCTGCATCCCACAGCTCCTCCCCACGGATAATCCCGATGTTCTCAGGTAGAGCTCCAGGGAAAAAATTCCCTCAGCTTTGTGCTCCTTTAAAGCTTTTTTCCCCCCTCCCCCACACCAATTCCCAGAAAATTTGGACGAATCCGTATTTCTTTACCTGGATTTGATGGTGACCTACTTAGGCCTCGATCCCGAAATTCCGGAACTCCTTAAACCATTCCCAGGAAACCAAAGCTTTGCGCTGCCGTCGTTCCTTTCCCGAGAACTGATGGATTTTGGGAGTAAATCCTCTGGGAATTTGGGAAGATTCACCACAAAAAAACCCAACCAAATAATGACCCCAAAAGCTTTTTTTTAAAAAAAAAAAAATCCCGAATCCAAACCACAAAATACAGCTGGGAATTCAGGCAGATTCCAGAGTCAAATTGGTGTCAAATCCCATAAAACCACAGGATCCCCGATGGTGGAACAGGGCCTGGATTTAGGGAAGGATCCCAAACCATCGAATTTGGGATTTTTGGGGCTGTGCTGTGTCTGCTGTCGCCGTTTTATGGGGTTTTTATTCCGGAATGTTTGCTCCAGATGATAAATATCATTGGGAATTTCGTTTAGATCGTTAAGATTTGGTTAAGACGATTCCAAAGTTGTTCCAGTGACCTCTTCCCTCAAAACCAAAAATTAAAAATCCTTTAAATTCCCATTCCTTGCTCTTCCTCCATCCTCTCCCTCCCGCATTTTTTGCTCCAGTGATTATTTCCTTACATGCTCTAAATAACGCATTGAACCCCGACCTTTCCTCTTCCTCCTCTGGCTCTTCCCAAAAATAAACATTCCGGCTGGAATTTATTTATTTTATTTTTTTTCACCCCCCCCTGCACTTTCCAACTCATCCATGCCGGTTATTTTTAATTCCAGCCGCCGAGAAGTGTTGGAGGGATAAATTTGCTCCAGGTGCTGAGGGAAAGAAGTGGAGCGCTCCCAACCTCGCGGTGCCCTTGGGAATTCGTTGTTATCCCTAAAATTGCTCCCAGGGATCCCCAAATCCTGGAATTTTTCTGCTTTTCCAGCTCCTGAAATCCACGTCTCAAATCCTTCGTCCCTCCCTCTTTCCTTGACCTTCACAGATCCAGGGATTTGGTTTATTCCCTTCCTCCTCCTCCTGCCCTTTAAACATTCCCACATCCAGCTCCTCCATCCTCATTTTTAAGGAATAAACCCATCAATCCCATTTTTTTTTAGCGAGTTAAAAACGTCACCCTGACTTTCGGGAAACTGGATATCCCCATCTCCGTATTCCTGAGAGGAAAAATAAATCTTATTTCCAGTTCTTTTTCAACAATTTCCCAACAATAAACGGGAAGGGGCAGTGGAGTGACTCAGTTGTGTCATTCCAAGACCAGGAATGGACGTTCCCACAGGGAAGGATGTGGGAATTTCTGTTTTTTGAGGAAAATCGCGTAAAACTTGGAGCAAACGAGGCCTGGAACGGACTCTCAGAGGGAGGAGGTTTTTTCTGCTGGATTTTCCTGGCAGGTTTTGTTCCTGGCTGGAAGTCTGGAGTTCTGGAAGCATTCCAGAGCTTTCGGAATGCTTTGGGTGGGAAGAGGACCTTCAAAACCCCCCATGGGCAGGGACACCTTCCAAAATCCCAGGGGGCTCCAAGCCCCGTCCATCCTCACCTTGGACAATTCCAGGGATGGGACAGCCACAGCTTCTCTGGGAATTCCATCCCAGCCAGGAATTCCTTCCCAAAATCCCATCCATCCCTGCCCTCTGGCAGTGGGAAGCCATTCCATGTGTCCCATCCATCCATCCCTCATTCCAAGTCCCTCTCCAGCTCTCCTGGAGCTCCTTTCCAGTACTGGAAGCGTCTCCCAAGTTTTTTTCCCTTCTTCACGTGAACGCTCCCAACCCTCATC